TCCACACACTTTCCACCGTTCCTGGTGATGGTTTTAAAAGCAAAGCCAACAAAGCTTTCAAAGCGGGGCTCTAACACTTGAGATGCAAAAGAGGGTTTTGCCAGCTGTGCGGATGAGAATGCCAATTTCCACTCAACTGCAGACTGCTAGTTCCTCCAGCCCCGGGACCGTAGCGTGTCTCTGCATCGCCCCCATACTTAGAATGGCACAGCGCACACGGCAAACCTTGGCAAATATGTTGTAGTATTATCTGGCAAGAAGGACACGTGACATGTGTGGGGTGTTTGCATGGTTTCAAAAGGGCTTCCAGGAGCACCTCCTAGAACCCTCAACTCTCTGACCTACGTAAAGGTTGTTCCTTCCGCTCTCCAGGCTCAGAGGGTTTGGCTGGTGCGTGGGAGGTCCCAGGAGGACTTAAAGGGAGATCTGGGATCGAGAACCCAAGCGTCCCACAGTTTTCTCCCCCTACAGAACCACCAGTAGCTGGTGTCTTCATCTGTAAGCAGTTCGGCCTTGTGAACAGCCTATTCCTTCCTTGACACGTCGCGGGAGAACGGTGATTAGCACGGCTGCTCAAACAACAGGAGATGAGATGATACTTCATACATACGCGGGAACTTGGCCCCGACGACGGGGATGTAACTTCCCTTTGCATTTCAACTCACTTAATGTTAAACCTTTTCAACACTGAAAACATTTTCTCAGAAATTCATATGGCGTTTCCAGCCTTGTTCCTCTGTCCTGACTAGGGAGGTGGTCTAGAAACCTAACACTGTTAACGAGAGCGCCAAGGTGTCTTGGGGCACCGGGCAGGGTGGTGTCAAAATCAAAGTCAGGCATTAATGGGCTGGGCTAGGGCCCTCGGTCGCAAGGTACAGAGACATTGAGGGCCAGAACTTGGCTTCAGGACGATGCTGCTGGAGAGCTTTGGGGCACGGGCATTTCCTCTGAGAACTAGTCCCCCGTCCACACTGTCTGTGCTGGCACTGGACTAAGAAACAGATAGCGAACAGAGAGTTCTGTTCATGAATTTCCTGTGTGTGAAATAAAAGTATGAATCCTGAACACATGCAAAACAACAACAACAACAAAACCCACAAAAGCTTCCACACTGTTAAAGACATGTAGAAATTAACAAAACGGAGCTCAAACGTGGCCCTGGGGCCAGCACTGGAATGAGGACGAATAAGGGTAAGAATAATGGGGGGAGGGGCACCTGGGTGGCTCAGTGGGTTAAAGCCTCTGCCTTTGGCTCAGGTCATGGTCCCAGGGTCCTGGGATCGAGCCCTGCATTGGGCTCTCTGCTCCGTGGGGGGCCTGCTTTCTCCTCTCTCCCTCTGCCTCCCTCTCTGCCTACTTGTGATCTCTGTCTGTCAAAAATAAAATCTTAAAAAAAAAAAAAAAAGAATAATGGGGGGAGGTCGTCTCGGCCCGGGAAATTCCACAGACACAGAGTCCAAAAGAGGGATGGTCTCTTCTAACAGAATAGTTTTGACTTAGAAGTAGGACAAAGACAGGGCACCTGGGTGGCTCAGTCGATTAGGTGTCTGCCTTCGGGTCAGGTCATGGTCCCGGGGTGCTGGGATCGAGCCCCGCATCAGGCTCCCTTCTCAGAGGGGAGCCTGCTTCGGCCCTCTCCCTCTGCTTGTGCTTTCTCTGTGTCAAATATATATATATATATATATATATTTTATATATATTTTTTTTAAGATTTTATTTATTTGACAGAGAGAGAGAGATCACAAGCAGGCAGAGAGGCAGGCAGAGAGAGAGGGAAGCAGGCTCCTCGCTGAGCACAGAGTCCGATGTGGTGCTCGATCCCAGGACCCTGAGATCATGACCTGAGCCGAAGGCAGAGGCTTAAACCACTGAGCCACCCAGGCGCCCCTATATAAATATTTTTAAAAAATAGAAATAGGACAAAGTCACTGCTTAAATACCTTTATTATTTTTTAAAAATTATTTGGACATTGATATCTCTGCAAAATACTTCTCCCGTCCCAAACCCTCAAACCCTTTCCACATGCCCTCCCTAAAGAAACAAAATATTCATATTTTGTGCCCCTTCATATCTAATTTTTAAAAACATGTAAGATTCAAAATCAAATATTCTTCTTTCCCAGAACTTGTTAGTAATTTTAAACCACAATGCAACATACTTAATGGCATTTCTTTTTAAAAATTAGCTTATCAGACTATTTTATGAGGAAAAAAAAACTCAATTCAAGGCCTTAGAATATAAATTCCCTGTTTATGAAAGCAAAAGACACTGAAAAGCCCCTTTGCTCCCCTGGAGTTTGTGAGATCCACGTTACCAACAGAACCAGCACACAGATGGGACTTTCTACTTCATATTAGGCATTGCTTACTTTTGGGCTGCAGCTGAAATGCTGTATAGTTTAAAAGGAGGGGTAGGTGGGAAGGGATAATTCCAGCACAGAAGAGAAACAAGGCTGGGGGCGCAGAATGGAGGCCTTCTGAGCAGTGGGAATCCCTAAGATCCCACCTCACGGCAGGTTTGGGGTGGAGGAAGACGGTAGAAAATCTGCAACCTGCACTGATTTCTTACTGAACACAAGTGTCAACCAAAACTATTGCACATAGTACCAGAAGCATGTAAACCGCTGAGAAGGTTCAGGAAAGGGTAACCCCGGGTGAGGACGATCCCCAAAGTTCCTTTGGGGACTCAAGAGAAAGAAAAGGGTTGATGTCGATCGTCTGGGAATTACTAAGAGGAGGCGGACAGATAATGCCTTCCCTGTCCTCAACCACACAGATGTTTACGCAAAGCTTCATCACAGATGCACCCAGAAGATCTAGCAAAGTATCATTTCTTCATTTTCCCCAATACAACGGGTACACTTCATTACCTTGCTAAAAAAAGGAAGAAATCCTAGTCGAACCTGGCCCATCTGGCTAGCTGAATGGAAGCAGTGTTTGCATATGTCTTTCCTGTGCGCTGGACTGACCGACTGACCCCCAGAGCTGCACAGACAGGGTCCCGATGAGCTCCAGGGAGTAAGCTCACCCCTTAGGTTCCGTGTGGGGCCTCCCTCTAGCCTTCAAGGAGCTTGCAAAATTCAGCCGAGCTGGGTGAGCACACTGTGAGAGGGGAACGGACGGCTTGTACAGCCCGGGAAAGCACGGCCCCACCGTGTCTTCTACTCACAGGATGCCTGCCAGCTACACGGGGGCCAAGCCAGCGTGGTCTCAGTACTGTGCCATCGGCTGGTGGGACAAGAGCCAGCCATCCTGATGCCTGGAAGTTTCAGAATCAAGAAAACATCGGACTCATCTCTGCCAAACGGACGGGAGTCCTTTTTCCACTGCAGTCACTGGGGCTCCAACGTTCTGGGGCCTCCAAGATCCTGGCCTCCCTACAGGGGTCGGTCTCACCTCTGCCCAAAGCCTTAGGATGACACGGCCTTGGTGTCCTGGTGCCACTGCCTAGTTTCCCAAGTATTTCTCCTTGAAAGCTTCCCCGAAATTCAGTCTCAGTAACGCACAGTACAAAGGTTGTCAAAAGGAAAGTCACTTTATAAGAATACACCATATCCCCAACCGAGGGGCCGCGTGTGTGCTTACGCCGGCCCTGGATATACAGCTTTCAGCCCGTTTTGCTCCTGTGGGTTCCAGCTCTCCCTCCTGAATTCTGAGCAAGTCTCGTAAACCGCCAACAGATGTGATGCCCCAAATGATGCCAACCTAGTAAGCTTTTTAAAACGTTAAAAAACAACCCCCCCCCAAAAAAAACCACACCCCGCCCACACACACCCACACACACACTTTGGCACGTGAGCCTTGAGTTATTCGAGCGTGTTCATGTTCCCACCCCTCCCCCAACCCAACATTTCAGAGTGCTGTTTCGAGAGAACAGCGGCCCCTTGGGCTCAACGGAGAGGGTCGCCTCGGAGCACTGTTGTCGTGAGTAGCAAAAGGAGAGGTACAAATGCTAACCCGGCCCCAAAGACAGCTCTCAGGTTGAGCACTAGAGTGGATGCGATGCTGCAAAACTTTTGTACCAGGATGACTAGTTTGAAACTGCTGGTTGATTAAATATACATTTACATATAGATATAGGTATAAAAATTACTAAGTCAACATTTGCTGTTTTCAATGTGAAAACGATAAAATGTAATTCTGAATAATTGTGCATTTGCCATAGGGTCCTTGTTAAAGGGACCATAAAAATAATTTTGTAATAAAAAAACTCTTTTTTTTTTTTTCCTTTTTCTTTTTTTTTTTTTTTTTTTTTTTTAAGTTTAGTATTGCCCTCAAGTTCAAAAGTTTGGAGCAAACGTGCTGAGTGGAGCAGGATCGGAGTCTGTTCCTGCCAGGGATCTGGAAGCCTTAAAATTCAGTGATCCCCAATGGCAGGCCCAGGGAACCTGCCAGCCACTGACTAGGTCGGCATGAACACGGAGGGGCTGGGCAGTGCCAGGTGACCCCGTGAAGCAGCCTCTGCCTCCCGTTTCGTTGGCAGATGCTGCTGTAGCTCCCCAATTCCCTGCACAGAGCTCTGGGGAGGTGGGGGGAGACACGTGTGCTGGGGCTCTGCCTTCTCTTAAGCTACCAGACTAAGCAACTGGGAGTAGGGGAGGAGGCGGCGCACAGGGCTGGGGCCTGGGCAGAGACCACTGAGCACCAAGGCTGAGGGTGACCAGGGTTTGGGGGGGTGCTGACCTTCTAATTGGTTGGAGATGGGGATGGAGGAAGGAATGGGCCTCATGGGCCTTTCGGTGATACAGAAGTTAGCTGTGCAGGAAGGAAAAGTGCATTTAAGGTAGCTTAAAACCAGATGAAGACCAAACTGCCGCTGAGAGCGGGGAAGGGCGGAGAACGCTCCCTGCGCCTGCCCCTCGGGTCGGCCGTGCTCCTTGGATTCTGTGGGTTAACATTCATGCTTTCCAACGCGAGTCTGCTCGTGAAGAAACAGGAACACATGTTCTCCTGGTTCTGGCAGGTACACAATTTTCTTGGCAAAGTTCTTTTTTTTTTCCTTTTTTTTTTTTTTTTTTTTGCCAAGTTCAGTTTTATTTGGTTCCTGCTCTGAACCGCTGTCACCGGAACTCGTAGATGGGCGCACTGTGTTCAGGAACGTGAGTTAGATTGAGAGACTGATACCTGCAGTGCAGGGAGAGAGAGAAACAGAAGCGGTCTAAGCAGCCTGAAGACCGAACAGAGGTGCAGAACCCCCTCCCCGCCGCCAGAGCGCCCGGTGGGCCCCAGGCTGGAATCAGAAGGCAGATGCATCGCAGAGCTCTGTGGCCGTACCAAGTTTGCTTCTCTTTCTGTTTCTTTGGTTCATTCTCCTGAGCTCTACCTACAAGGAGCTGCTTCTAGGTCTCGTGCTCTGACCACGAAGCAGTTAGGGTACCTCTTACAAAAGGAGAGGCGGGGGGCACCTGGGTGGCTTAGTGGGTTAAGTAAGCCTCTGCCTTCGGCTCGGGTCATGATCTCAGGGTCCTGGGATTGAGCCCCACATTGGGCTCTCTGCTTGGCAGGGAGCCTGCTTCCCCCTCTCTCTCTGCCTGTTGCTCTGTCTACTTGTGATCTCTGTCTGTCAAATAAATAAATAAAATCTTAAAAAAAAAAGGAGAGGCGGACAAGCTCTGGGCCTCATCCCTGCCCTCCACTCTGTCTCTTTCTGTTGTCCAGAACTCAGCCTCTCCAGGAACATCGGGCTGGACCAGCCTTGGGGCCTCATGGGGAGCAGAGGCACACCCCACGGAATACAGGGACTTCCCAGCCAACCCCAAAGCCTATGTTACCATTCACTGCATTTTCTCCCCTTCCTAGACACAGCTATGAGGCTTTGAGAACATCAGAGTTCTGAGGTGTTTGTTTTTGCCTCTCTGGTAGGTGCTCCAAGGAGGTAAGTGGATGAAGGAGAAACAGAGGCTGGCACAATCCGCACACGGGGACGATAACCCCCAGGGGACAATCAGAGTTGACAGGGTAGATGCTAGCTCTCCCCTTTCTTGTTTCACGTGGGAGTGAGGAGGAGCATGGGAAAAAGCAGTTTATTTCTCACCAAAAAAAAAAACCACCAAAAAAAAATGAGGAAAAGCTCGTGCATTGGCCATCAGAATATATGAATCCAAATCACAAGACCCCACTTCATACCCACTAGGACAGCAATAATCGTAAAGACATCATAACAAGTGTTGGGGAGGATGTGGAGAAACTGGAACCCAGTGCGTCACATGCTTTGGCGGTTCCTTCAAAAGTCAGGGAACTACTAATTCCATTCCCGGGTCTATGCCCGAAGGAATTGAGAGGAGAAATTCAAACAGAAACTCAAACAGATACTTATACACTCAGCAGCATTAGTCACAACAGGCAGAAGGGGGAAACAACCCTGCAACCGATGAACGGAGAAGCAAAACGTGGTACAGCAGTCCCCCCCCTTATCTGGGGGGGTACATTCCCCAGTGGATACCGGAAACTGTGTAGAGTACTGAATCCTACGTATGCTGTTTCTTTCCTGTACAGAAACCTATGGTAAAGTACAATTTATTAAGTCAGGCACAGTAAGGAATGAACAACAACTAGTAATAAAACAGTTATAACAATATTCGGGGATGAAAAGTTACATGAATGTGATCTGTCTCTCTCTCGAAATCTCTTCTTGTGCTGTTGTCACCCTTCCTGTTGTGAGGATTGGGGGGGACATGCCTGCGTGAGGAGATGAGGTGAGTGAGGCAGGCACGTGACCACTGACCATCTGCCTCTGGACTGTGCTGACCGCGGATAACCTAAACTGCGGAAGGCAAAACCGCAGATAAGGAGGGGCTGCTGTCCATCCGTACCACGTAAAATTATCTAGCAGTTAAAATGAAGGGCTGACCCATGTTGCCACACAGCCGAAGCTTTGAGCACCAGGCTGGGTGTAGGAAGCCGGACACGAAGGCCGGTTCGTCATGTGTATGAGGCTCCCTTTATAGAAAATGTCGGGAATAGGCGTGTCTGTATAGAAAGATGGTCAGTGGCTGCCTCGGGCTAGGAGGAGATGGGGACTCGAGGCTGAGGGCTAAGGGGCATAGGGTTTCTGGTCACGGAGTGATGGCCGCACAACTGGGAACATTCAGGACGACCGCATTGCACGCTTTCAGTGAGTGCATTGTATGGTACGTGAATTCTCTCCATCGAGCTATTACTTTAAAAAGGCTATAACAGGTTTGAAAAACTCCTTTGAAAACAGGGCAATTACTGAAACCCTGGTAATTGGGGCACTGATTTGCAGACCTCATTTTGCTGCCACTGAACAAGGAACCTGAGTCAGGCCAGCGAGAGACATCACTCACAAGTCGCCAAAGCGGGAAACATTTGGAAGGGGATACAGTGCTCCTACATTCGGAGAGGAAATCAGGTATTTTGCGACCGGGTGCCTTCTTCAGGTCCAGCAAGGTGCTTGGAGCAGCGGCAATGGGTCAGGAGAGTCCCCAGAAAGGGGACCAAAGCTAGCACTTGAGGTGGCACTCCACCCCTCACCTCAGGCGAAACACGGGGCAGGACTGCCAGCTCCCGTGGGAGCCCCTCAGTCACCAGACTGAGACCAGAGCACGTGGGGCCAGCATCTGAGGACCGTGACCCCAAAACCGGAAAGGCTGCTAACAGCAAAACTCACCCTGTCCGTAGCTGGAGCCTACGTTTTCGTTACTGATTCAATTTGGGAAGAAATACGAGAGTGGCCAAGGTTGGGAGAAATGCTGCTGATAACAGAAGTGCCTGAAAGCTTTGAGCAGTGAGTTTCTTCAGCGAGCACACGGAGATTTACTCTGCTCTATGGTTAGGGATAGGAGCCCCTCCACGAGCAACTGAGATCATTCAAAGAGGCCCCCACGTGCAGATAGAGCACAGAAGCTACGCAGAAACAGGTGAAGAGGGTTTTGGACTCGGCAAGCGAAGGGAGAGCCCGGGGTGGGGGACAGCGGCAAGCCGCCCCCTTCGCCTCTGGGGTGCCTTACCATTCTGAACTCCTATGGTAATAGTAGCCCTCTATGGAGGCTGCCGACTTCTGGAAGCAGATGTAATAGAACCCGGCAAAGGAAGCGCCGCTGATGTCTTTGATCGTGTGGTCTGGGACCAGGAACTGCTCCTGCACACAGATGGAGGAGGTCAGTAACAGACGATGTGCTCCAGCCGCGTCTGGGACTCGCCGTTAGCCTTCAGGTGGTTCTCAGGCTCCAGTGTCCCATGGCCTTGCCCAGACTTGCCGGACGATGGTGGACATCTGCATTTCAACCCGATCTGTCAACAGCATTCTAGATGCTAACACAGTAGCCTGTGTCTTGAGCTCACTGAGATCAGCAATGAAGAGAGGGCTCTAGAGTCCACGCATCTTGGAAATGCCTCGATACCCACCTACGTGTCAGAGCCCACTGAAAGAACGACCCGGGAAGAGGAGGTTTCTGGCTCACCCCGGGAACTGGTGCTAGGCTCCTGATCACCTCTGCTTTCTGAGGGCAGATCAATCACCACTTGCCCGCGTAACACTCCCTCAAAAAGCCCGACACCTCATCCACAGCCATCAGAAGGGTACTGTTCTTTCTCGGGCACTTTGGGAAGAGGCGAGCCTGTGATCTCCCATAGCCAAGCTGAAAGGCCACATCCGGGGACCTACTCTCCCGGCGAGATGAGGTCAGTGGCCTCAGGGCCCCAGGAGGTCTACCGAAAGCCCATAGCAAGTCACGCTGAGAAGGTCTTTGGAGACCAAACAACTCCACTGGGTTTTTTAATTTTTTTTTAAAGACTCTCTCCGTCCCTTTCCTCAACCTCTGAAATGCTAGTTTTTAAAGATTAATTTTAAAATTAGAACCTTGCAAGATACTTCCTTTAGTGCTTTATTTGCTGGCACGGTTCCCACCAGAGAGCAAGCTCGCGAGGGCAGAATGGGCTTTTACCCTTTGCACTTGGCTCTGTCTATGCAAGAAGACACGGAGCCCCCCCCCCCCAAATTCTTAGCTGTACAAACTAAAGATTGGGAATAACGCTCAATGATTTGCCTGTATGGAAGCTGGCAAGATTTCAAGATAAAACCACTTTCTCCTACAGGCTGGGAACCAGGGGTTGGAAGCAGGTGTCCGCTCACAAAGTGACTTCACAAACCCGCTTCACGATTTTGCCAGCCTGTGGCTGGAACGCAGTAAATCCCAAGCTATCAAAAGAGAACACAAAAGACGTGTCAGCCCAAAGCCAATCTCTCGAGTCCAGCCAGATGGAGCTCTCTGAGGGCTCGTGAGAGTGGAAAACCCAAATTCCATTCCTGGTCCCTCATTTCCTGCTGGAGGGAAGCAGGCAAGCTGAGAGCGCACTGAAGCTTGGCTAGAACGTGATGAGGGAACAGTCACTTACACGGGTTCACGACTGAGAGCAGGAAGTGACGGGGACGCACTCTGGGTCTCCCCTGAGTCCCCAGAACACCAGGGACGACTCAACCTGGAGAGTCAAGGGTGCTGAGGGCCGACCACCCCCTCCCCCCAAGCATGACTTCATGACTAAACCACCAAACGGCGTCACCAAAGACAAACCATGGGACATGGTGGCAGCTGGCCAGTGTGGCCTGGAGCCATGCCCACTTTTGTGAGCGTGTAAAGGCGCTACACGGAGACAAGCGGTCATGAGCACAGACCCGGGGAGCAGATGGGGCGCTGGGTGCGGTGCAGGCTCTGGCTGACCTGGGACCTTACCTTCCACCTCATGAAGACATAATCCCCATTCTTCAGCTCTTCATAATCAAAGTCATCGGAATTAAATGATTTTGCATACTGATAAAAAGCCAGAAACTTGCCCTGAAAGCAAAAAATTGAGCATGAGGACTGATGGGCGGAGGGGGAGGCCGGTGTCACAACTGTCCTCCTGCGCCCAGCGGCGAGTGCCTTCGCAAAGGCGTGATGGCGGCTGGATGTGCCCACAGAGCAGCAAAGGTGGAGGATGGGGGAAGGGAGCCTGTGGTCCCCATCCGTGAACTCAGGCCTGACCCACCCACCCCCTCACCGCCCCCTGCCAAGGCAGCAGGGCGTGACACCTGCCTAGTTAATGTGGTCTGAGGAAAGGCCCCCTGGGTTGGGAACGAATGTGATTCCAGAGGGCCTTTTCTCAGGACACCTTACCACAAGCAAAGCCAGGAAGGACTGGCGGGAAGATCTCCTAGTCAATCAACACTAGCCACGTAGAACAACTTAGAGCCAGCACGTCACCCCGAAGGCAGAAAAGGGCTTTACTAAAGCGGGGTCCTCTGACACAGGAACGTGGCTTGGGGCCAGCCAGTGAAGTAGAAACAGGAAGTGGGTAATATATGTTAAATCCTTTTAAAAGCGGAGACTAGAAATAGGCTACAAAACTGTGTCTCGTGATCCTATTTTTGTAAAAGAAAAAAAAAAGAAAAGAAAAAAGAAGGTTAATACCTGTTTTAACTTCGGGTATTGTTGTTATAGATGATTTTTTCCCTTCTGCTTGTCTATTTACTCAAATATTTAAAAAATAAATATGCATTCATTTTATAAGAAAATACCTAAAATAAGATTTAAGATACAGAATTTGTGACACGTATATTTCTTTTTCTTTTCTTTTTTTTTTTAAAGATGTTATTTATTTGACAGAGAAAGACACAGTGAGAGAGGGAACACAAGCAGGGGGAGTGGGAGAAGAAGCAGGCTTCCCGCTGAGCAGGGAGCCTGATGCGGGGGGGCTCGATCCCAGGACCCTGGGATCATGACCTAAGCCCAAGGCAGACGCTCAAGGACTGAGCCACCCAGGCGCCCCAATACGTGTATTTCTATTCTAACTGGATTAAGTATATGGAATCTTGACTTTAGGGCACCACCGTGATACCGACTTCAAGTATCCGGAAAACTTGAGGGTGAAAAACAAGGTCTCTGATTCCAGTTGACAGGCGGTCCTGGTTTTTTTTTTTTTTTTTTTTTGTTTAAATGATTTTATTTATTTATTTGACAGACAGAGATCACAAGTAGGCAGAGAGGCAGGCAGAGAGAGAGAGAGGAGGAAGCAGGCTCCCTGCAGAGCAGAGAGCCCGATGTGGGGCTGGATCCCAGGACTCTGGGATCATGACCTGAGCCGAAGGCAGAGGCTTTAACCCACTGAGCCACCCAGGCGCCCCCAGGCGGTCCTGGTTTTACTGCACTTTACTTCATTGCTCTTTGGAGATACTGCATTTTTAAAAAAGATTTATTTATTGGCGGGGGGGAGAAGGTGAGGGAGAGAGAAACTCGAGCAGACTTCATGCTAAGCGCAGAACCCAATGCAGGGCTCGATCTCACGACCCTGAGATCACGACCTGAGCGGAAACCAAGAGTTGGATGGTTAACCAGCTGAGCCACCAGGTGCCCCAGATGGTGCATTTTTTTTTTAATTGAAGGTTCGTGGCAACCCTGTGTTGAGTAAGTCAGTTAGTACAATTTTTCCAACAGCATTTGCTTCCTTTGTGTCTGTGTGTCACATTTTGGTGATCCTTGCAACATTTCAAACTTTTTCATTACTCTGATCTGTGATGAGTGATCTTTGATGTTACTAATATAAATTGTTTTAGGGTGCTACCAACTGCCCCCAAATAAGACAGCAAACTTCATCGATAAATGCATGTGTTCTGACTCTTCCACTGATTGGCCATTCCCCCCTCTCTCTCCCTGTCTTCTCAGGCTTCCCTCTTCCCTAAGACACAATAATATTGAAATGAGGCCAATTAATAATCCTACCACAGCCCCCAAGTGTTCAAGAGAAAGGAAGAGTCGCATGTCTCTCACTTGAAATCAAAGGCTAGAAATGACTGAGCATCTCAGAAGCTGAGACGGGCGGGTGGCTAGGCCTCTTGCACCAGTGAGCCAAGCCATGAACACAAAGGGAAAGTTCTAGAAGGACATGAGAAGGGCCTTAGAGGGAACAGATGAATGATAACAAAGCCGTTTAGTGGTCTGGAGAGGCGGCCAACCCAGCCCCGACACTCGCTTCAGCCCAAGCCTAACCCAGAGCAAGGCCGTGACTCCCCCTTCAGTTCGGGGAAGGCTGGGAGGTGAGGAAGCAGTGGGAGAGGCCGAAGCTGGTGGAGGCTGGTTCAGGAGGACTGAGGAACGGTGTCGTCTGCGTACCACAGACAGGCAGGCTGAAGCAGCACGCGCTGACAGAGAGGCTGCAGCAAGTTCTCCAGAAGATTTCAGACCCTCATTAAGCTAATACACTACACTAAACCACCACACTAAGTAACAGACTCTGAACATAGACGAAACCACTTTCTGTCGGTGGAGACGCCATCCAGGACTGTCACGGCCGGAGAGCAGCCAACGCCCAGCTTCAGAGCGTCGGAGGTGAGGGCGACTCTCCTGTCTGGGGCTGACGCAGCTGGTGACTTCAAGGGAAGCCGACGTTGCGGGCCATTCCGAGAGCCCCGCGACCCTTAAGAGTTATGCAGAGTCTACTCTGCCCACGCTCTAGAAAGGGAACAAAGCCTGGATGACAGCACGTCTGTTTACAACATGGTTTACTGAATATTTTAAGTTGAATGTTCATACCTCCTGCTCAGAAAAAAAAGATTTCAAAATATTACTGGTTCTTGACAAGGCACCAGGTCACCCAAGAGCTCTGATGGTGACAGACCGTGAGACTTCCGCTGTGTTCAGGTCTGCTAACACAGCACCCACTCTGCGGCCTGTGGAGCAAGAGCTCATTTCAACTTTCAAGGCTTTTTATTTAAGAAATAGACTTCAGAAGGCCCTAGCTGCACAGAGAGTGATTCCTCTGACGGATCTGTGCAAAGTAAACTGAAGACCTTCTGGAAAGGATCCACCATTCCGGATACCATTAAGAACCTTTGTGACTCACGGGAAGAGGTCAAAATATCAGTACAGGAGTTTGGAAGAAGCGGATTCCAACCCTACAGATGACTGTGAGGCTTCGAGACTTCAGTGGGGCCAGTCACTGCAGATGTGGTGGCAACGGCAAGAGAACCAGAAGCAGAAGCGGAGCCTGAAGATGGGCCCGAGAGGCTGTGAGCTCATGATGGAACCTGAACAGAGGAGCTGCTTCTCCTGGAGGAGCCAAGAATGTGGTTTCCTGAGATTGAATCTACTCCTGGTGAAGATGCTGTGAAGACTCTCAAAACAACAACAAAGGACTTAGAATATGACTGAACTTAGCTGGTAAAGCAGCAGCAGGGGTTGAGAGGACAGACTCCAGTCTGGAAGGAAGTTCCATGGTGGATAAAATGCTATCGAACAGCATCCGGGGCCACAGAGAAATCGTCCACAAAAGGAAGAGCCCCCATCATGGTGGTCAACTTCACTGTTTTCTTGTTTGGAGAAATGTCCAGAGCTACCCGAACCTTCGGCAAGTGCCCCCGCCACCAGTCAGCAGCCATCAACACTGAGGCGAGACCCTCCACCAGCAAAAAGATTAGGATTTGCAAAAAGCTTAGAGGATGCTGAGCGTTTCTCAGTCTTTGAGTTTTTTTAAAATTAAGGTGTGTACATTGTTGTTTTAGACCTAATGCTACTGTGCCATTCACAGGCTATAGTATCACATAAACATAAGTGTTATATCCACTGGGAAACCAAACGATTTCATTTGACTCACTTTACTGCAATAGTCACTTTATTGCGGTGGTCTGGAACGGAACGGAGCCCGCCATGTCTCCAGGGCATGCCTCTGTCAGTCACTGGTGAAGCCCTGACACATGGGGATCCCACATGGGACACTGGGACACCAGCGTGGGCTGGGAAAGGTACAGGAAATGGAGTACTGCAAAGGTGCCCAGACTGCTGGGTGAGGAAGGGCCCAGAGGCCGAGTTCCTCATCCTAACATACCAAGGATGGCCTTCTTCGTCCCCGTGTCACTTAAAATACGTCAATTCAGCCTAAAGAAGGAGATCCAGATATTTTCCAGTGTTGTAGTGGAAGTCTGGCACACTAACAGCTGGTTTCCAGGTGGTTAAATTGCCACGGACCTAGCTTAGAACTGACTATTCACTGAGTCTCAAAGACCTCGCCTTTTTGGCAGAACTGATTTGAGATGGAAAACCCAGGGTGGACAGGAGATAGGCTGTGGCTCAGTACAAGGAAGAGCCTTCCCGCCAGGGCTGTCCGAGAGAGAAGGGACCCATCTCGTGAGGCCTTGAGCAGCACGGAAGAGCCCAGGTCGGGCAGGCTGGGACCAGACGGCAGTGGGGAGCCCCTCCAACTCTGTTCCTGATGCCGGCTCTACGCGCACTGCTCGGGCTCCCCAGTTCCCTCTTGTTCATTCCCTCGTGTTGCACACACACAAAGGACTGATTTTCGGTGTGTATTTGCGACAACAGGTAAAACATGTAACTTATCAAAAATGGTTTTAAAAGCTCAAGTTTAAATTGAATTGAAATTCAGCATCTGAAGGATGTTCCTTTCCAATCTCAAGTAGAAAACATGAACAAGCAAAGCGGTTAACCTACAGTGAGGTTAACTAGGACGAGGGTCTGCGGTAGCGAGTCCTGCAAGGACTATCGTGCTGGAATCAGGAGAGAGCTCGGACAGGCCAGGTGAGAGGTGCAGTGGGAAGCCTGAGGCGTTCTAGAGTTTTCGTTACGGACGCAATCACTCTGGGTGGCTTTAGAGGGTGAGCACATTGGACTTCCTCAGTGTTTAACCAAAATTCACTGGGGTGCTTGGCTGGCTCTTGGTGGGGCGTGCGGCTCTTGATCTCAGGGCTGTAGGTTCGAGCCCCACATCGGGTGCAGAGATTACTTACAGATGAAATCTCAAAAAACTAAAAACTAAAAAAACAGTAATAAAATAAACCAAAATGCACCACGGCCATGGTCAACTAAGCCAGAAGGCTATTATGACAGGCTGGGAAACGGATTTTTGAAGGCATAAACTTGTATGAAAGCCAACGAAAAGACTCGAGCACGGTGACTCTAAGTTGTCTAAAAATGTTCAATAATGGTGAGTCAGAACACACCCCACACGGGACAGTCAGAAGTGGGGGCACTGAGTTTCCAGTGGCATCCTGATGATTCTGAAGTTGTGACCATGCATGTCGGTCTGGAGCTGGGTGAGAACCCCCCCCCCACCACCGCCAGGGCTCTCCCCACACAGAGATGCCAGCGGAGAAGCAGCTTTCTAGAAACTGCATCTCCACCTCATGCTAACCCCAAAGACAAAGGCCATTGCTCTGTGTCTCCCAGGGCTCCCCACTACAGGGGATGAGAAAGGAATGGTGTACAGGCGGACAGGACAGGGGACAATGATAAGACCCAGAGAGCTAAGTTCCTTGACTTTCCAGCAGAGCCTGGGAGGCCCCAAGGAGACCAAAGACCTACTCACCCAGTGTTTCCGATCCACGTCCTCGTCTGCATCCCACTTCCGCGTTAAGAAAGGGTGTTTTTTGCTGATTATTTCTCCTTCAAAGAAGGTTGTAAGGGTTGGATACTCCTAAGGTAAAAACCCAAGTATCAGAATAAGGTCTCAAACAGGAGTTTTTACCTTTCCCAAAGGAAAAAAATCAACCTGACTTTAACTTATTCCCAGGACTTTGACAAAATGATCACTCTGCTAAGCAATGACCTTTGGGTCAGTCCAGCAATCTGCCAATGGCAACAGCGTCAACGTGACCTGGGTGCCCAGAGAGTCTTCTGGACTTTATGGAGTTTGCCAGAAGCAGAGAACCCTCCTTCGACTTCACTTGTTACATACTGCTCCGTCAGAAAAGAATTTTGGACAAGTGCATTCCGAGTGTTCTAGAATACAAAGCAGATAGTAACTAAGTAGAATTTACTTTGCAAGGAATTTACTTTCCATTCTTCAGGCTTCCAGTGGTGGGTGTTTTATTTTGTTTTCTTGCAGAATACTTTGGTATATTAGGGTACATTTAATCTATCATATGAACTAAGGCCATCCACTCTAAGGAAAATACATGTAAATTACGTCTGCGATGGAAAATCACAACAACAGAAACAAATACCATGGGGAAAAAAATAAGCTGTCATCCTAACCGGATGCTTAGAATACTCCCGTCAATTTTATTTGCTATTTGGTCACCTGCTAATAAGGAGGCACCCAAGATTTTGAAAAAAACTAATGGAAGAAAAAGTTCACAGTTAGAAGTCCACCATTTCTCTGCATTTATTAAAAAGCAACCAACTGACCAACCAACCGGGCAACCCCTCGGCCCAGCCTGCCAGGCCCTGGTGTTTCCTGGAAACGTGGTAATGATGGTCACTGGCCCAGCAGCCATGGATTACAGTCCTAATGTCCCTGGGACCACAGAGGTCCCACTTCTTCTCCAGATCCTAGGTAGGCCTCTCTTATTCTGCATCAGACACCTACACGTGTTTAAAATAAATCTGTGGGGCGCCTGGGTGGCTCCATCGGCTCAGGTTATAACCCCAGGGCCCTGGGACTGAGTCCCACAGCAGGATCCCTGCTCAGCGGGAAGTCTCCTTCTCCCTCTGCCTGCCTCTCTGTCTCTGTCAAATGAGCAAATAAAATCTTTAAAAAAAATTTTTTTTTATTTTGTTTTTTAAGATTTTATTTATTTATTTGACTGACAGAAATCAGAAGTAGGCAGAGAGGCAGGCAGAGAGAGAGAGGGAAGCAGGCTCCCCACTGAGCAGAGAGCCCGATGTGGGACTCAACCCCAGGACCCTGAGATCATGACCTGAGCCGAAGGCAGAGGCTTAACCCACTGAGCCACCCAGGAGCCTTTATTTATTTATTTTTTTAAAAGATTTTATTTATTTATTTGACAGACAGAGATCACAAGTAGGCAGAGAGGCAGGCAGAGAGAGAGAGAGGAGGAAGCAGGCTCCTTGCTAAGCAGAGAGCCCAATGCGAGGCTGTATCCCAGGACCCTGGGATCATGACTGGAGCCGAAGGCAGAGGCTTTAATCCACTGAGCCACCCAGGCGACCCTGGAAACCTGATTTTAAAGGTATAAACTAGCGGCATCTGGCTGGCTCAGTCGGTAGAACATGTGATTCTTGCTCTCAGGGTTATGAGGTCGAGCCCCATGTTGGGTGTCCAGATTACTTAAAAATAAAATCTTTAAAAATAAATAAATAGGGGTGCCTTACGATTTCTCTCTCTCTCTGTCAAATAAATAAATAAAATCTAAAAATAAATAAACAAACAAATAAATGAAGGGGTGCCTGGGTGGCTCCATCAGTTAAGCACCTACTCAGGTCAGGTCAAACCTGCTCAACGAGGAGTCTGCCTCTCTCTCTCTCTCTCTGCCCATCCCCGTTTGTGCTCTCTCTCACTCTCTAATATAATCTTTAAATAAATAAAATAAAAGTATAAATTAAATCATGCTTATCTGTTTTAGGGAGATCTACTAAGAGAGAAAGTTCTGGATCAGTTAGTACCTGACTTGAGTTTTTTTTAAGATTTTTTAAATTTATTTTTATTTATTTTATTATTTTATTACTTTATTTATTTTATTATTATTTTATTTATTTATTTTTATTTTATTTTTATTTATTTTATTTTTATTTTTTAAGATTTCATTTATTTATTTAACAGACAGAGATCACAAGTAGGCAAGAGAGGCAGGCAGAGAGAGAGGAGGAAGCAGACCCCCCGCTGAGCAGAAAGCCCGATGTGGGGCTCGATCCCAGGACCCTGGGACCATGACCTGAGCCGAAGATAGAGGCTTTAACCCACTGAGCCACCCAGGCGCCCCCTGACTTGAGATTTTAAATGGAAAGCTACACGTGTGGATTTTCTGAGGTTTGAGCTTTAACATTTTTTTTTAAGCTTCCACAAAAAAGACAGAAAGGAAGAAAATGATAAAGCGGTCGTCTTGCAGTACAAAGTAAGATACTTATGGCTCAACTGCACGTTTTCCTAATGAACTGATTCTGCGCTGGAAACATTTCAGGCAGTGTATTAAGGGGACTGCAAGGTACCCCCAAGCTCTGAGAATTAAAATAAAAGAAACTGCCTGATGAACGAGTCAATAGGTTCAGAAGCTACCAGAGAGATGAACTGTCTCCCAGGGTAGGACCAGGAGATTCAAGCACTTGCATAGAGCCAGACCGGCGGTAAGTTTTAAAGCCAAAGGAAGAACTCCGTTTGCAGGAGGGACATCAAGAAAATGACTCAGAGAGGAAGAGACGAAGCCAGCAACCCCCGACCCCCAAGGCAGGCAAGGGCTTCCTACGGGGGGTCCAGCTGTGGTCAGGCATTCAGGTCATCCAAACCACTCCCCACACGGATTCCAGGCCGACCAAAACCTCTCCGGGGATGGGTCTAGCTTTCCATGTAGACCCTCTTCCTGGGGGATTAACACCCAATTGGCTACTAAGTCAGAGGGAACTTCTGGAACATGCATGTACCTCAGTTCAGAAATGAGTAAACGCACACTCTTGTGTATATATCCGTCTCGGCAAGTTTGGTTAGTGTGACATCTCCTTGGTTCAGACAAGTCTGCCCAACCTCAGCAGAAGCTTCCAAATTCGTCTAGTGAGTGAGGGGAGGGCTAGCCCATGACTCCCCGAAGGCTGGGCTCCTAAGCCCTGTGCCAGACGCGGGCCCCTCCCTAGAAATGTCCCCTCTCTCCACTGGTGGTTGGCTCAGAATTGCCAAGAAAATGTTACCTGACACCCATTCTTCACAATTCTGGGATTTCACTTCCAGAAGGCACAGTTTAAGAACTGTGCTCAGGGGCGCCTGGGTTGCTCGGTGGGTTAAAGCCTCTGCCTTCAGCTCAGGTCATGATCCCAGGGTCCTGGGATCGAGCCCACACTGGGCTCTCTGCTCAGCAGGGAGCCTGCTTCCCCCCTCTCTCTGCCTGCCTCTCTGCCTACTTGTGATCTCGGTCTGTCAAATAAATAAAATCTTAAAAAAAAAAAAATAAAAACTGTACTCATTTGTGAATGTGAGGTAACTAAGAGACAAAAATTACCTCCAATTTAAGAGTTCATTTTCTATATTGTATGCATGAGGAAGACTAGGGCTAAAACCCAACCATTTAAATGCTTTTATTAAAATAAGTTACATATGTGATATTTTCCCAACTATAAATGGAAAAGAGAACAAACCCGAAAAGCTCTATTTTACAATACAGGCAATAAAGTCATTCAGAGAATCCCACCATTTTTTGGCATTTCAGTGATTATATACAGTGACCACATACTGGATTTAGAATTTAAAGATTGTATTTATTTATCTGACAGAGAGCGAGGGAGCCTGCACAAGCAGGGGGCGTGGCAGGCAGAGGGAGAAGCAGGCCCCCCACTGAGCAGGGAGCCTGATGCGAGGCTCCATCCCAGGACCCTGGGATCATGACTTGAGCGAAAGGTAGATGCTTTTAACTGACTGAGGCACAGAGGTGCCCCTGGATTTAGAATTTTAAAAGTGTTTAATATAGCTGTTCAGGGGCACCTGGGTGGCTCGGTCAGTTAAGCATCTGCCTTTGGCTCAGGTCATAATACCAGGGTCGTTCGTGGGATCAAGCCCTGTGTCAGGCTCCTTGCCCAGCGGGAAGCCTGCTTCTCCCTCTCCCACTCTCCCTGCTCGTGTTTCCTCGCTCACCGTGTCTCTCCCTGTCAAATAAATAAATAAATAAATCTTTAAAAAAGGAAAAAAAAGAAAGATGGGTGTTCAGCGCCATGACTGCACTAAAGGCCAACGAACTGTACCTTTTCCATAGGTGGACTGTGTGGTAGGTCAGCTGACTCAGGACAGCTACTTTAAAAAGTGGTTAAAGGGGTGCCTGGGTGGCTCAGTGGGTTAGGCCTCTGCCTTCGGCTCGGATCGTGATCTCAGGGTCCTGGAATCGAGCCCTGCGTCGGGCTCTCTGCTCAGAGGAAAGCCTGCTCCCCCCCCACTCTCTGCTGCCTCTCTGCCTACTTGTGATCTCTCTCCCTCTCTCTGTCAAATAAACAAAATCTCTATTTTTTTTTAAAGATTTTATTTATTTATCTGACAGAGATCACAAGCAGGCAGACACAGGCAGAGAGAGGAGGAAGCAGGCTCCCTGCTGAGCAGAGAGTCCGACGCAGGGTTCGATCCGAGGACCCTGAGATCACGACCCGAGCCGAAGGCAGAGGCTTTAACCCACTGAGCCACCCAGGCACCCCGTAAATAAAATCTTTAAAAGAAAAAAAAAGTGGTTAAAGAAGATAAAATTCAAAGAATCCTGAGGTGTGAAGAGGGCCCCAGGCAACTCAGAAGCACGGCCGTTCTCCTCTGATGAAATGCACCGTTAGCGCCAAACCCGAGCCTGCTGCTCTTCGAGGAGAGGTCCAGTCTGGGCAGCCACGCGCTCATGAGGCTGAAGGACTGGCCTGGCAGGGTGGTCTCCCCACACCGGCCATGAGTCTAAGGGCCCCCCACCCCAGAGCCTGGCCACCCATGACTCAGAGGTGTTTCCCTCTGTTAGGGTGAATTGCTCCTGGGGGATGCCATTTCGGGATTCTTTTTTGTTTTTTAAACATGTTATTTATTTATTTGAGGGAGAGAGAGAGAGAGACAGCATGAGAAGTGGAAGGGTGAGAGGGAGAAGCAGACTCCCTGCCAAGCAGGGATTCCGATGCAGAACTGGATCCCGGGACTCCAGGATCTTGACCTAAGCCGAAGGCAGTCTCTTAACCAACTGAGCCATCCAGGTGTCCCCGTTTCGGGATTCGTAATGGTTCTCACATTTCCATGCAGCTTCCTAGGACCACAGCGGCTGGGTTTAGAGTCCATGGTAGCATTCCACGGGACAGATTCTGCTGGGTCCTCATGAAGCTAAATGTTTACGTTCTGCACTCAGCAGACACACCTGGCTGCCGACCAGCTGAGCATACTGTTTCCCACTGCCCTAAATTCAAAGGCTGGAATCCTTCCTTTTCTACCCCTACTCTACTGGGTAAGTTTCTGGAGGCGAGGAACAGGTTACCTCTTCATCCCAACGACAAACGTCACAGAAAATTCTCAAACTTCTAATAGAGAAGGAGGAGGACCCGAGGGAATCAAAGAGACAGAAACAATTGTTCCAAGGTGAAGGTTGTTCAGGGCCTTAGTTAGTATCCCTCCATTTGCATCAGGTTAGAGTCCTCCTCTTGCTCTTACATTGTTTCCTCCCCTCCTAGGACGAGCCCCTGGAGTAGATGGAGTGGGTCTAGTTTATCCTATCCTATCCTTTTTTTTTTTTTTTAAAGATTTTATTTATTTATTTATTTGACAGAGATCACAAGTAGGCAGAGAGACAGGCAGAGAGAGGGGAAGGGAAGCAGGCTCCCTGCCTAGCAGAGAGCCCGATGTGGGGCTCGATCCCAGGACCCTGGGATCATTGCCTGAGCCGAAGGCAGAGGCTTTAACCCACTGAGCCACCCAGGCGCCCCATATCCTATCCTATCCCACTCTATTTACTATCCCAGTCTAGTTGACAGGCGCCATCACACGGGTTGTGGGTCCGCGTGGTGATTCGACAATGCTAAACCTTGTGCTGTGTTCACCACAACGGTAGCAGAGCGGGTATTTTTCATTCTCATTTTACAGATGAGGAAAGAGAAACGAAAGCTCACGGCCCCAGCAAGGGGCAGAGAAAGGACATCCCTCCAGGCCTTCCCAAGGCTCAGTGGAGCCGGGCCATAGACAGGGAGGACTGGTCAGGCCCACACCATGGCAGCCAGGTCAGGCCCAGGTCCTCACGGAGGAGTTAGGCGGCTGGGCTCCATCCCCTCCTTCTCTTCCTGCTGACTCACTAGCAGGGAAAGAATGGATGCTCTTTCTTGCTTTCCATATCCCTAGGAGTTCTGAGACTTTAAAAGTTTGGTGCAGAGAAAGGAAAACCCTCTACATTTCCCTAGTAGCTCCTTGGGTTAGGATCTGGGTGATCACCTGACATTGTTCCAGTGAGCGAAGGGGTTTAAGGAATGTCGAAGACCTCGGGCCTGGAAGGATTAATGCATAGCTCAGAAACCATTAAACTTAGGATTAGAGGTAGCCATATTCCTACTCTATTTTTTTTTCCCACCAAAGGATTAAGAAGAAAATCAACAGTGTTGGGAACACTGTGACTTCTTTATAAACTTTAAAGATTTGTGCATCCGTACACTTTCCAACAGGACACATCAAAACTACATCCTTTGTGTGTGAAGTACAACTTCATAGAGAGCTTTAGTCGGGCCTCAGGGTCCACGCTCTTGGCCATTCACACCCTGAGAAGGCCATGCGTGCGGCCCACCGTCTAGCTCTAGTTCATTTGAAGGAGTGCTTACCTCAGTAAGGCCTTTTATCTTCAGGTATCCACAAAGGTACGAGTTCCCCGTGTCCACATGCTGGAAGGAAAAGGACACACAGTCTGGTTACAAATGGAGGAACCCCTGGGACAAGCTGGGGATGCTGTGGAAATCCACGTGTCCTGCGGGCACAGGCCAGGTGGGCTAAGGGAGGTCTGGAGGTGGGTGCCCACCGAGCTCGGCCGGGGCTTACCGGCCTTCAAGACCTTCGGGAGTCCGCCCTACCCATGGGCCTATTCAGACCAAGGAAGCTGATTCCAGGACCTTCTCAACCTCCTCAGCTGAGTATCTCGAGACCGAAGTGTTTTTCTGGAGCAGCGAGCCCACGCACACAGGCCGCCTGCGGTCTCCGGAGTGTAATCCTCCCCTACACTCAAACTAAGCACAATCCTGCATTAATTCTTTTTTTTTTTAAAGATTTTATCTTATTTATTTATAAATAAATAAATCTCTCTGACAGAGAGAGAGGAAACACAAGCAGGAGGAGTGGGAGAGGGAGAAGCAGGCTTCCTGCTGAGCAGGGAGCCAGATGCGGGGCTCGATCCCAGGACCCCGGGATCATGACCGGAAATGAAGGTTCAGAAGCTTAAGGACTGAGCCACCCACGCGCCCCTGTGCATTAGTTCTTTATGAAATGGGAAGCATATTCAGGAAAGACCTCATACGAAGACTGCTTGGGCAAACATTTCCGTTATGAACCAAAATGCTGACCCCCAGATCGGAATATATTGTTAAGTGTTCACTCTGCCCATTTCATAGCCGAGCGCCTGTACTTCTTGGTGAAGAGTTGGGAGGCTACAATAAACAGGGGTAACAGGCACGGGAGATTTTAAGGCTGAGTACCCACCACTTACGGGTTGCTGAGACACTGCAGGGTGCCTACCCAACAACCAATTTCCGACCTCTCCATGCTACCAGGGCCCAGATCCTGGTCTAGCACCCACCCCGGCCCCACAGGGCCTGGGCAGCCCTGATGGACCCAAGGCAGACACATGCCCCTGTTCCCTCGTGAGTCATTAGTTTAGGGGTGAGTGACCCAACCAATCAGGTATGTGTGCCAGTCTCCTGGGGGGCCTCTGGGAAAGATGCTGGCTTTTGAGGAGGCCCTCTGTCTTCCCCTGGAAGTGGCAGTACCTGTACAAGCGCCCAGGCCCTCGGCAGCCACCTAGAGACCATGAGGACAAACAGGCCGGGAAATGCCAAGGATGGCAGCGGAGAAACAAGGAAGGGAACGAGGCCCCTGAATGACCAATCTGGAACCAAGCCACCTCCGAGTTTCTTGTAATCAGAAGTGCTAGGTTCACTCATTCTTTAAACTATTTTGAGGTGGCTATGGTTTACTTACAGCTTAGTGCGCCTGAACTGATACAATTCACCCAAATCTATACAGACTGGTCCCGAACAGGCAGATTTTCACATTTCATGATAACTTGGGCTCCCTTAAAAAGCAGACCCCTGGAAAGAGAGCAAACCCAAGTACAATGCCGCTGGCACGTAGATTTTAATGTTAAGTGAGGCCTCATTTTAAACAACAAGGAAAGTTTTGTGGTATTTTTCAGATTTGGGGACTTAACTACTTTCGTTTACACCGTAAATCATATACTCCAGCAATCCTTAAAAACTGTAATGAGCACAGTCAGCCAGAGGAGGTCAGCACCAAAGCAAATGGGCTTTAGTGAAGCTGAAATGCTCCCACAGTTTGGACCCGGTGACAAAGGTAGCCCATGTGAAAACTGCCAAAGCACTTGAAATATCCTCATCGGCTGGCCTTGGCCTTGGATGTGATCTAAAGTGGTTGATCTGCACTAACGCGGTTCAGCAAAGGACTTTATTTAAAGGACACACCAAGCTCTAACCTGGGGCCTTAAATTTCATGTATGCAATTCTCACTGAATTCAATACACTTTGGGGTTTCACAGCTGCTGGAAAGGGTATCAGGTGGCCAAGATAACTGCTAATAAGATTAAAAACCGAACTGGAAGTTGGCTAACATTTTGCATGGATTATCACATGCTCAAGAATCAGAATTTCAGTTTGGCCTCCATTCAACCATGTATCCCTCCCTTTCTGCCCCAACTCATCTCGATGACAGTTGGTGAACTCAAACACAGTACAATGCAGAGAAATTATACTGAACGCCAGGCCAGCATCTCGATGAGAAAGATAACAAGGCAAATGTTTAGCAAGAACGTCTCACAGCACAGCTGTGTCCAACAGCTGCTCTTTCTAGTACCCCTTCACTGTGACCCTGGCCTTCACTTTGGTCTTGGCTCCTTGCATGGCAGAGGAGAAACAGAGTAGTTACAGTAACAACGGCAACAAGGGAAACCCAGCCAGAATCTCACGAAGGTTTGGGAAACTCTCTAAACTAGAATTAAGAGGAAAGAAAGAGAAAGAAAGAAAGAAAGAGAGGAAGGAAGGAAGGAAGGAGGGAAGGCGGGCTCCAGAAAGGCCCAAGAAAAGATGTGCAACATTGTTAGTCATTAAGGAGATTCCAATCAAAACCACAATGAGACACCACTTCACACCCACTAGCAGGACTGCGATCAAAGAGATAGGCAGTAAGTTAAAAGTGTCAGCAAGGCTGTGGGGAAACTGGACCCTCATGCGGGGCTGGTGGGAATGAAAACTGGGGTAGGCACTTTGGAAATCGGTATGGCAGCTCCTTGGAGTGGTAAGCACAGAGCTGCCATTGGACCCAACATTCCACTCCCATGAGGAATGAAGACGGTGTCCACATGAAAGCTCACACAGCAATGTTCATTCCATCGTTAAATGGTTTCCAAAGTGGAAACCACCCAAATGTTCACCGACTGCTCAAAGGCCCAACAAAATGCTATATATCCATACAATGGATTATTATGCAATGATAAAAAGGAACAAAGCACGGCCACATCCTACGATGCAGGTGACCGTTGAGGACATGACGCTCGGCAACAGAAGCGAGACACAAAAGGTCCCATAGTGTATGACTCCACATACGTGAAATGGCCAGAATAAGCAAATCTTCGGGAATGTGATGGCTAGGAGGTGAGGTTTCTCTTCGGCGGGATGAAAGGGGGCTAAAATTGGGTTGCAGGGATGCTTACCCAACTCTGAATACACTAAAAACTACTGACCTGAACACTTTCAGTGGGCGAGTTGCGTAGGATGCGAACTGTATCTCAACAAAGCTGTTAGGAAACAAAGCAAGCAAGCAGGAAAGAGGCTGAGGTATATTCTAAGAAGGTTGAGTCCAAGAAACTGGTCCTGGCTAAAAAACCAGGGCGACGATGGACCAATTCACAGGCCACTGACGGTCTCAGTGATGGACAAAGAGCTCACCAATCCAGATGTAGGGCGGCATTCCTGGGCACGGCCACAGCTCCCACCAGCAGACATCCTACTGAGGTTTGAGCCGGGCTTCTGCTCTGGGCTGCCCTGAGACCAGTCAGTCCTGTACCAACTCAATCACCACTTCTATTGGTTCACAAGGACATGGGCACCCGATAGGACGTTGGAAACACACGAATGACAGAAGCGGGGAGCTGCTGAAGAAGTCAAAGACCACTTCTCTTTGACACTTAGCGACCCTGCTGGTCTACCGCATCAGAAACCGTCAAAATAAACAATCGGCACAAATTCGCGATCATTCCAAACACGACCCACACCAAGGACCTCACTGCCAGAATTTTACAATGTTGCCCCCCACAATAAAGAAAAAAGTCTTTACCTTTATACTAAATTCTCACGTTTTAAGCAAAAGACAAGAGGGATCACTACATGAGGCATATAATTATGAAGACTGAATGAATCAGTCACAACAGTTTTCCAGTTATAACAAATGCCACGGCTCACGTGAAAAAGTTAAGCTTATGGAGCAAAGATACAATTAACATGAAGAGGCAGTTTCCTCCACCAAAAAAAGATGAAACTATTGATTCCCCCAAAACAGTATGAAAAAAGAGGGTAATGGTGCTCTACGGTTAGGAGAAAGAAAATGTAGCCGCACTGTCTTTTGGGTGGGACACCCACTTGCTCAGAAGAGAGGCTGTCCAAAATTTACTATTTTTAAAGAGCCAAGGGCACATAAGGCAAAGACACATCTTGGGTTCTGTCCTCACGCATGGGAGCAGTAAGGTGGCACACTAGGTCCTCAGAGCTTCTGTAAAAGGCCTTTCAAGAGGGCAGATGGGGAGGGGCTTTAGGAGACGAGGCCTCACACTAAGGAAAAAAGGGGCAAAGGGAGGAGGAAAGTGGATCCTGAGGCAGGCAAGGGTAGCTACACAGGAAGGGGTTTTGTGCGGAAGGGAGAGAAAAAGGAGTATGAACTACTGTTGATCTCTGCCTGGAGAAAAAAATGTCAAGTGTGTTTCTATTTGCGTGAGAGGGGTGAGGTGCAGAAAAGGGCCTGAGTAGGTAAAGCTGTCGCTCCAAAGCTACCAGAGGCTGGCACCAGGTATTAGGAAATCCAGGTCAAATGGGGGGGGGGGTCGGAGGGGAGGTGTACACAGACAGCAAGGAAATACCATGTGAGAAATAATACGGGGTGAGTTCGATTTCCCAGCACATGGCTATCAGAGACCAGGAGGAAGCCCTGGTTGTGTAGATAAAAGAACACAGAAAGAGGGTCCCCTGGAGCCGAGGAGGAGGCAGATGAAGGTATGGGTTGGGGAGGCAAGCCGGGGAGACTGGGAGGGGACTGGAGGTGGCCAAAGAATGGAGGCAGGGAGCATGAGAAGCCTAGAGCGGGAGGCCTGGGGCTGGGGGCAGCTGGGTGCCTGGGCCAGGAAGAGACTGGGACAGCTGTGGGGGGAGGGAGGCCAGGAGGCAAGATCCCCACAGACTTGGAGGAGCTCCACTCAGCAGCACCCAGGATGTGAGTGCCTGGTCTTGAGGGGAGTAATTACCAGAGGCTAGGAATCAGCTGTGGGCTGGGGGGCGCTCAGGGGCTAATGGAGGGAGTGTGCCCAGGTAGCCAGGTCGGAGGGGACTAACTAGGCTCTCCCAAGGAAGAAATCCTGGGAGGAGGGCCCCAGGGTTTGAGGATACCTGGAACTTAGGAAAGGGGAGGGGAGGATGACTTGTCTCAGGTCTGAGATAATTTGACATGGGCCCAGCCTCGGGTAGGGTCCCGAGTCAGGAGAAACCAGTGGAGAGCTCTTCAGGGTCTGAAAGGGACTGGAGGGGGGTGCTGATCTCGGGACGAGAGGTCCTGGGGAGGAAGGACTCAGGTCTGAGGCTGGCCAGTCGCGGGGGGGGGGCTTCCGGATCCCAGGCAGGCCGGTCAGGGGCTTCGACTCTGGGACAGTGTTCAGGGTCTGCCAGGAGCTGCTCCCGACAGGCTCCGGTGTGAGGGGCAGGTCAGGGCTGGGGCTTGGAGAGTGTGAGACACCAGCTGGGCAGGTCCCGGGGGGTGAAGCGCCTGGTGCAGGAGGCCCGGCGGCGAGGGCCTGGTCTGCGGCTGCGGGCTCGAGAAGCCGGGGGCGGGCACGGCCCGTGAGCGCCGCGAGGAGGCCCGCGGGCCCCGGCCGGCCCGGCCCGGCGCTCACCTGCAGCACCACCTCTACGTCGTACGAGTTCCCCTTGCTCTTCTGGTGGCCGCGGAACTTGGAGCCGCTGTAGAGCAGGCTGGTGGCCACGCCGGGCTGCTGGGTGTTGATGGGCGGCGGCGGGATGAGCGAGGCCGCGGAAGCGGCCGAGGTACCGGCCGGCGGGGGACACTCGGTGCGGACCGGCATCGCGGGGTCCCCCGGAGCCAGGGCTGGGGGGAGGGGGAAAGGAACCGCCGCCGCCGCGCGGGAGCCGAGGGGGGTGGCAGGGAGGGAGGGGCCGGGGCGCGCACGCGCGGGGTGGGGGCGGAGCGGGGGGACCACCCGCCCGCTGCCTGCGGACCAAGCGCTCCGGCTGCCACCGGGACCCCGGGACCTGCGAGCAGGGCCTCCCTGTCCTGAGCTGAGTCCCCCTCCCCACTTGCCCTCGCACACACACCACCCTTTCGATTGGCTCAGGCGCGCCGGGGGGGAGGGAACAGGCTCACGCGGCGCTTCCACCCATTGGCGGGAGGAGAAAACACGTGGCGGAGTGCGCGAGGGGCCCTCTGGGACTTGTAGTCTTCTTCCCGAGGCGCGGCGTGGAGGGGGCGGGGCGAGGTGCGTTTGTGATGCTGATTGACTGGGGGTGTGCGCTGGAGGCGCGCAGGAGCGACGGCGCGCCGCTGGTGTCAAGCGGAAGATGGCGGCGTCCAGGGGAGGCTGAGGGCTCTGGGGAGGTTGTGAAAGGTTTCCGTACAACCGGAGCGTGCGGCTTTGGGAATCCCTTCGCTCAGTTTCCTGCTCTCAGGTTTCCCGCCGGTTGTCCCCCCAGACTCTCGGGCGCGATGTGGAGGAGCTGCCTCCGGCTGCGGTACGCCGGGCGCCGCCTCCTGAACCGGCCCCGGGCTGCCCTCACCGCGTCCACGGGGCGGGAGCCAAACCCACTGACCCCTGCTCGGGCCTACGCGCCCCCAACAGGTGAGGGAGGCCAGAGCACATTCTCTTTGGGCCAGGGCCCGAGACGGACTAAGGTGGGCTGAGGGATTCGGCTGTGTAGGGCGGGGTCACCGAGGCAGGGCTCAGGCTCGTGAGGTTACTCAGTTCAATGGGGTCCTGCTACGGAATAGGCGAAATAGGCGGCCAGGCGAGGGCACACATCGCGTCGCTGCGTGAGACAGTAGTTGCCATTTGGGACGTGCAGTTTTTCTCAAAGTTTATGGTTTTCTTTTCCGATAAGGAAAGCAAATAGCATTCTTGTTCTCAGACAGGGAAATTCAGGTTCTTAGATCAGGATCACACCAAGGTCACAGAGCAGACTCAAGTTTTTGGAGGGCAAGGGTCAGTCTGACCTTTTTCTGTGTACCCATGGCTGGGCATCCTGGAACCGGGGCATTCAGTGGGTATTCAGTCTTCCATCCTGGACAATTTCTCTGCAGGTTCCGTGGCCCTCGGTCCCACTGTCCTACCACAATCTCTGCCATTTCTTTTAAGGAGTTGATCCTGGTGCCTCCTTTCACTTCTGACTGATAAGGCCTAGAAGAAGGTAGTAACACTTTCACTGAGTCTGGGAAGAGGTTTTAGGGTAAGAGTGGGAATGATTCCCTTAAATGAGTGCAGAGTAGTAACACTCTTTAGTTAGTTTTTCTGTGCCGAGAGCTGGAGGCATGGTGGTCTTCAAGGTAGGTGAGGTCCTACCTAATGATCACTGTCATTATAGTTCACTGCAGGTTATAATAGTCTGATTAAACAACAGTTTACCCTGTAATAAGGGAAATACAAAGAAACTGACAACATAAAGAAGCACCTACTCTCATCTTGGGGGTTTTGAGGGTCTGGAAAGGATCTTGGATGAAAGGACATTTCAGCTGAGTCTTTTTTAAAAAATATTTTATTTATTTATTTGACAGAGACATAGCAAGAGAGGGAATACAAGCAGGGCGTGTGCGAGAGGGAGAAGCAGGCTCCCCACTGAGCAGGGAGTCCCAGGACTCTGGGATCGTGACCTGAGCCGAAGGCAGACGCTCAGTGACTGAGCCACCCAGCCTCCCCTCAGCTGAGTCTTGACAGATAAGTTGGAGTTCAGTGGAGAGGAGGAGGAAGAGTGTTGGGTGGACAGAACAAGTTCAGAGGTGACAGCAGGGTGTGAGGGACCTTGCTGTGACATTATTTACTTTAGAAAATCTAGAACTCTACAGACAGTTTGACATTGTGGCAGAAGTACAGACCTGGGGTCTAATGCTGCGTGGAGGTACAGCGTGATCTTGGGCGCTGGACTGCTTCCTTTGGGCCTCATTTTCCTCTGTGGGTTGAAGGACCAGGTTGCCTATGAGGGTCCTGTTAAGTTTCATAATTTTATATACATGGGGGAGAGAGCTGGATGCAACAAGGAGCTGACATTTTCCCTGTGGCGGTCCAAGTCGAAGGGCATGAAAGTGGGCCATGAAGAGCCAGTAAAGAGGGAGAAGGAAGGGCACTTGTGACACTGTGAGTTATAAGAAGAAATATACAGTTAATGGGGCACCTGAGTGGCTCAGTGGGTTAAAGCCTCTGCCTTCAGCTCAGGTCATGATCTCAGGGTCCTGGGATCAAGCCCCGCGTCGGGCTCTCTGCTTAGCTGGGAGCCTGCTTCCTCCTCTCTCTCTCTGCCTGCCTCTCTGCCGACTTGTGATCTCTGTCAAATAAACAAATAAAATCTTAAAAAAAAAAAAAAAAAGAAGAAATATACAGTTGACTCTTCAAACAACATAAGGGTTAGGAATACCACTAAAACCCCCCCACCATTGAAAAATCACATACAACTTTTGATTCCCCCAGAAATTAATTACTAATAACCTGCTGTTGACCAGAAGCGTTACAGATAGCAGTCGAGTAACACACATTTTGTATGTTAGATGTTTTATTATTTATAATAATATATATTTTATTATATGTATTATATGTATAATATATATAATAATTATTATTATTTATTTAGATTTTTAAAGTAAGCTAGATACAAGAAGATCTTATTTAGAAAATTAGAATGAATTATAAGGAAGAGATCAGGAGGAAGAGAAAATAACATTTACTGCACTAAAAAAAAATCCAGGTATAAGTGGACCTGTCCAGTTCCAACCCACGTTGTTCAAGGGTCAACTGTCTCTTTTGGTCTCCCTTCAGTTCCTGGCACACATCTCTCTCTTTTTTTTTTTAAAGATTTTTTTTTTTAAGAAATTTATTTATTTGACAGAGACAAAGATCACAAGTAGCAGAGAGGCAGAGAGAGGGAGGGGGAAGCAGGCTCCCCACCGAGCAAAGAGCCCAATGCGGGGCTCTATCCCAGGACCCCTGGATCATGACGGAGCAGGAAGGCAGACACTTAACCGACTGAGGCACCCAGGCACCCCTTTTTAAAGATTTTATTTATTTATTTGTCAGAGAGAGGAGAGCGCCCACAAGCAGGCAGACTGGCAGGCGGAGGCAGAGAGAAGCAGGCACCCTGCCGAGCAAGGAGCTGGATGCAGGACTTGATCCCAGGACCCTGGGATCGTGACCTGAGTCGAAGGCAGCAGCTTAAGCAACTGAGCCACGCAGGCATCCCCTGGCACACATCTCTTAAAACCCTTGTAATTTACTAAGCATTAAGAGCTATGGAAGAGGTTTTTATTATAATATTTGGTCTTCTGTCCTAAAATTGCTCCAAAGATACAAAGTTGAAAGCAGTATCTTTATTCATAAGCCTCTTTCAACCACACCTGAGGTTATGTAAATGACGTGGCTTTTGGAAAGCACCTAAGGATGGGGGCTGGTTGCCAGGGGAACCAACCACAAGATGAGTGGTTTGGTACTTTTAGGCCTACCCCCTGACCTCTGGGGAGGGGAGAAGGGCTGGAGAGATTGACTTGATTGCTAGTGGCCTGTGATTTAATCAATCGTGCCTATATAATGAAGCCTCCATAAATGTCCCTGAACTTCGGGGTTCAGAGAGCTTCAGGGGTGGCGGACACTCAGAGATGCTGGAAGAGTAGCATGCTTTTCTCAAAGCTTGCTCCTTCTCTCAGAGAAGGCACCGAAGCTCCACAGCCTTTCCCCTAGACCTTGCCCTGCACATCTCTTCATGTGGCTGATCCTGAGTTATATCCTTTTATAATGAGCTGGCAATCTAGTAAGTCAAATATTTATCTGAGTTCTCTGAGCTGCTCTGGCAAAGTCATCAAACCTGAGGCGGGGTCCTGAGAGCCTCTGATTTATAGCCAGCAGTCGGAAGCATAGGAGACCACCTGGGCTTGTTGTTGGCATCTAAAGGGGGCAGGAAATGCAGTCTTGTGAGACTGAGCCCTTAACTTTGTGGCATCTGATGCTATCTCCAGGCAGATAGTGTCAGAACTTCATTGAATTATAGGACACCAGCTGTTGGGTGGCAAACCCCCCAGACGTTTGGAGCAGAGAGTGTCTGTGTGAATGCATAAAGGAAAATGAGTTTCCTTTACAACATCCTGGGAAGGTACAACACGACCAAAGGGGACATGTGCAGAGTTCACTGAAATTGGCATAGGCAGAGTGTTCATTTGGATCAGTGGTGCCATTTCCTATTACTATGGCACGCGATCTACCATCTCTGTTTCCCTTCTACTGCAGACTTTACTAGTTTAGGCTCTTGGCAGTAGCTGGCACATGGAAGGTAGTTAAACATGAAAGAGAAGAGGAATGTAAGAATGAAGCCCAGTGGGAGAGAGGTACATGAAACCAGGCCTGTGAGTGCACTGCAAAGACACTACCACTGAGATTCTGTGAGTCTTGGGAATGGTGGAATATTAAACCCAAGTGGGGGCCTTCTCCATGAAGACTCTGGCAGGCAGCTTGAACTTGGCTCCTTAGGAATGGCTGTGCCAGTGAAGGTTGTCAGAAGATGAGTGGTTTGGGAAAGGGTTGCTGGTGTGTTAGAGGAGATTTTGCAGCAAGGAGGCCTGTTGGAGGGTATGTGGTGGTCCAGCTCTGTACCAGTTGTCAAGAGATCCATCAGCTGGTTTAGAGGAGAAGGTGTTTGGAGAGGCTGTGTGTCTGGCTGCGTGCAACACCCAGTGAAGCCAAGGCTGGAAGTCTTGTCTCTGTTTTCACATTGTCACCTGGACAAGTCATTTGGCTTCTCAGAGTCTCTACTGCCTCAGAGGCATTACTTGGCCTGTCTTCATAGAGTGATTGTGTTGGGTTGAGGGAGATTCTGTAGATAAAGCCCAGCTTGCCACCTGTTTTTCAAATAAAGTTTTATTGGAACACAGCCATGCCCATTCATTTTCATGTCATCTCAGGCTACTTTAACTACTGAGTATAGTAGTTGCCCAGTAATGTTATGTTATGTTATGTTATGTTTGTTATGTTATGTTATGTTATGTTATGTTATGTTATGTTATGTTATGTTATGATGGCCTGCCAAGCCTAAAATATTTACTCTGGCTCTTCATGGAA